ATTTTTAGTGTCTTGTCCTGGCCAGTTAGAAAATGCCCAAATCGTATTTTTAATCATACCTCAATTTTTTCAAAGGGAACGGGGATGGCTCTTTAGCATATTTGGAAAAAGCATTTTTTCACGAATAATTTGATACCACACACTTGGTATTGCGAATCAAATTTTCATTACGAACAGCAAGTTATAATTTCAAATAAACCATATGCAAAAATGCCAAAAGTTGACATATCATTGTTTTCATTCTATTCAGAATGTCATTTTCTATCGAATAAAGTAAAAAAATACCGTGGGTGCCATTTAAAAATCAAAAGTTGTAGTCATTTCCGGTGAAACAGAAAGTGGCCAAAAACAATTAAATACGTCAATCAATCTAATTTATATTATATACTAACATACCAAATATCGTTTTTTTGTCTGAAAAAATAAAAAAGTTATAGGGGGTGAGCCACTTTTGAGGCGCAGCCGGTATATCAATTTATTTATCAATAATATTTTTTATTTCATTGATACCACTTAGATTCTTTTGACAACACGATTTTCTGCCAAGTTGTTGGCAACATTTTGACCACCCTTCCTACTAAAATATTCAACACAAAAAAGTAACGGCTCTATAAGGAACTGTGGCACTGTTCGCTAAGTTAATTGGCAAATTACGTCGGTCCCTCGCGGACGATGTCATCCGATGACCGATAGCCCCTCTGGTCATGAAACAAATCCCTCGGAAGCAGTCATATGGCGTTCCTGTAAGGTTAGTGACTTTCGACCTGTCCGGATTGTACCATAATAGGAATCATACCGTACAAGATCATGCCCGCTGATACCATGGGAACGTTGAGAAGTCGGAGCAGCCATCAGCGGTCGATAGTTCCTGAATTTCCCGACTTTTTGTTACGCTATTACATATATATCGTAAGCCGATCGAGATTTAAATCTGATGAATTGGAAGCATTAAGGCTGAACTCGATATGATCGGGATCGTGATATTTATTTCTGTCTTTGCCGCATAAGAGACTCGGATAAATTGGTATCTTTTACTTGAAAGTCATAAAATAATATTGAGATAGTTCGATCAAAAGTTTTATAATCATAATCGGCATGATTGGAATTACTGATTTTCCGTTACCTGATTTCTATACCGTATGCGTCTCAAAAGTGGCTCACCCGAGGGCTCCCTATGTTTTATTCCCTATCATTTTATTTATTTGTATAGGTTTCATCATAATTTGATCCACTGATTTACAAAACACCTTGAGAAACGCACACTACTTTGAATACCTTCCTGAATGAAATGTTGAGAAGAGAGATGCCTCCAAGAGTGCCATATAACAATATATGTAATGCGCCAAAAGTAAGTCAAGAATAGAAATAAAGATTAATAAGATTAGGTAAAGTTATTACAGTATAACTTCAGTAGTCCGGGTAGATATCGTTCCGGCATGCACCAAGATTATCGAGATGCCCGGATTACTGGAGCTCAAATTTATTTGTTTAGAAAATGAAAACAACTCAAAAATTGTCAAAAATAACGTTTATTAATCTAAATTATAGATAAATACTAGTTGCCCATAAAAACCTGATTCCTCGCTGCGTTGCAGCACGATATAAACAATTAATCGGTTTTTCAATCTTTTAATATGGATATGATTTTTTCATCTTGATGAACTCATCTGCATTGTATACTTGTTCTTTGCATATTGTCATATCTAAAACAACAAATCTAAACTTTTTCCTGAAATGGAATCACAAAATAGCAGAAGATACAATTTACCTGTGATTTAAAATGATAAACACAAGTATCACTGTCACGGATCTCCCCAATTGATATACTATAGTTCAAGTTTAGATTATTCTTCTCTTCCAAAATGTTTTTATTTGCTTTTAAATCATTACGTCATCGATAATGGTATTCCTACCTGGCCTTTAAAATTATTTTGATATAAAAGTCCCATTTTGATATTTTATCCCTTTTGTTCATGTCAAACACCACATATTTTGAAACTATAATCTGTTCCGCAATCCTATAATCTGTTCCGCTCTAGAACCCAATGGAGAAATACCGGGTGCGTCTCAAAAGTGGGTCACCCCTATAACTTTTTAATTTCTACAGATAAAAAAAAAACAAGACTTGGTATGATAGCATATGACATAAATTAGGATTGATTGACGTATTCAACTGTTTTTGGTCACTTCCTATTTCACCGGAAATGACTACAACTTCTGATTTTTAAATGCACCCTCGGTATTTTTTTACTTTATTCTCTGAATAGAATGACATATCATATGTCAACTTTTGACATTTTCGCATATGGTATATTTGAAATTATAAATTACGGATCGTAATGAAAATTTAACTCGAAATACCAAGTGTGTGGTATCAAATTATTCGTAAAAAAATACTTTTTCGATATTCGATAGAAAATGAAATTCTGAATATAATGACATATCATATGTCAACTTTTGACATTTTCGCTTAATAAAAAATGGTTTTTAGTATTTTAAAATTCAATCTAGAGTGCCATGGCTAGGTTAAAAACACTAATTCTTAATCAAGGAGTCTTGGAAAAATATATTTGATCGTCTAGTGTTTTTAGTGTCTGTCCTGGTCAGTTAGAAAATATATATCTCAATTTTTTCAAATGGAACGAGGGTGGCTCATTAGCATATTTGAAAAAAGTATTTTTTTACGAATAATTTGATACCACACACTTGGTATTTCGAGTCAAATTTTCATTACGAACCGTAATTTATAATTTCAAATATACCATATGCGAAAATGTCAAAAGTTGACATATGATATGTCATTCTATTCAGAGAATAAAGTAAAAAAATACCGAGGGTGCCATTTAAAAATCAAAAGTTGTAGTGATTTCCGGTGAAACAGGAAGTGACCGTCAATCAATCCTAATTTATGTCATATACTAACATACCAAATCTCGTTTTTTTAACTGAAAAAATAAAAAAGTTATAGGGGTGAGCCACTTTTGAGGCGCACCCGGTATAGACTCAGTTCATAAATAATATGTAAATATGTTTCTGCTTGTCTAGATTGGAAATTTCTGAGATTTCGCATATGATTTTTTTGCGCCCGGATTTCAGAAGCAAATGTTTTAAAATTGTAGAAAAATTTCTAGAAAGTGCCCGGACTATTGAAGTTATACTGTATTAATAATAATAATTACTTTTGGTGTATAATAACTTAAGTCTACCTACTCTAATCAAATCTAAAATAGCGTTTCGAGCATTCAATTCGATATAATAAAATCACTTATCATTTCACCATATCTATAAAAAGTTTAGGTGAAAAACTTTCGTCGATGTGATGTAGGCGTGAATGACACGACGCCGACGCACGTAACGACACGACTTGTAATAGCTGCAATTTAAACGTATTTTTCAGTACCAATGTCTAGTTCTATAATAAAGGTTCTACGTGATTACGTCGTGTTATGTCCCCGTATAATAAAAAGAAACTTTTCTTGATCTGGACTAGACATAAATGATCTGGTATAAAAATATTTTAACTTTTCTCTTGTACACACAGATTATTTATTTTCATTCTTAGTTGTAAATCGTATTATACAGGGTGTCCCAGAAATAAGCGCAAATATTTTAACTGGTAGTTAAACCCCAGAAACACGCCTATGAGTTTTTTTTTGCGAAAAAAAAATTTTGAAAATTCGAAATTTTTTGAATAAATTTTTGGAAATTTTTTTAGTTTTTAGTTAAAAAATATAATTTCTTGATAATATGGCAACATAGGTATTAGATTAAATTTGCAAGAAAGAAAATCCAGAAAAGATCCAGTAGTTCTCAAAATTTTAGCAAAAAATATTTTTTTTTTGGAAATTTTCAAAGTAAAATAACTCCCTTATTTTGGACTTATTTGAAAAACAATAAAGAGAAAATATGTTTCTTTTATCGAGATCTACCACTCCTTAAAATATTTGCACTTATTTCTGGGACACCCTGTATATTACACTTGTCTGCATGAAAATCGGCTCTGACACCATACTGAAGGGCTTATGCTCAAAGATATCCAAATAGGAATCTTCCTGATAAGCGTTCCTTTGAGAAACTACTTGTCCTATTTCGCAGAGCTGGTATTTTGTTTTATAAAAATCTATTAGGCTTAAACCTATCATTGGAAGTGAAGAAAATGAATTTGCCGTAATTGGCTCTTTTATAGAAAATCCATATATCTTCAAGTCATCGTAAAATAAACTTGCGTGCATAGAAATCGGCCCACTGTAAACTTTTGACTTTAACTGTGTCTTTTAGAATCTATTTATCAGACCAAGAAAAAAATATGAGCTGTTTCAAAGACAATCTAACATGCTTTAATATGAGTATAAATTTATCCAAAGTACTTATCATTTATATGCGTAGCAACGGGTAAACAAATGAAAGGCATTTATATTGTGATGTAATAAGAATAAAAAACTTATCAAATATTGCAATTACTACTTTACTGTTACTTTGTAATCGAAATTTGCACATTGTTCTTTCATTGTTTGATTTGTTGTGTTTCATTGTTTGATTAGTGTTTCAATTTGACGCATACATCACGGAAAAAAGCTGCCAAAGTAATCGCTTTAATTGAAAATGGTCTTAAACAGATAGCTGTAGCTCGGCAACTGCATATGACACGCGGAGCGGTTCGAAGAGTGTGTGAACGATATGAGGAGACTCGATCCTTTCGTAGGCGACCTGGAACTGGTGAAAAGATATATACAACGGATCGTGATGACCGCTTTATTGTCTCAACAATATTAAGAAATCGGCATCTTAATGTTATTCAGGTGCAACAACAGCTCCGTGAAACACGAGGAGTGACTGTTAGTCAGAGGACAGTAAGGCGAAGATTGAAGGAAAGTAACATGACCCCCAAAACACCCGCAATTGGTCCAAAACTTACCCCAGCTCATCGTCAAACACGCCTGCCTTTTGCACGGAAAATCTGAATTGGCCACTAGAACAATGGGAATGTGTTTTATTCTCAGATGAGACCAGGATATGCCTCTATGATAGCGACCGAAGAAGAAAAGTGTTCCAGAGGCCAGATGAGCGATTCGCAGAATGCTGCATTGAGGAGCGGATTGCTTATGGAGGTGGTTTCTGCATGATGTGGGGTACAATTTCTATGTCAGTTTTTATCCGTTGGGACGACCCGCGGCACGGGAGAGGAGGTTTAACTGGTGCTAGGTATATTGAGATTTTAGCAGTTCATGTGGTACCTTACGTCGACTACATTAGAAGCGAATTCACTTTTATGCATGACAATGCGAGAGCACATACATCAAGAATCGTACACGATTACATTTCAGAAGTCGGTTTTCGGGTTATGGAATGGCCAGCATGCAATCCAGACTTAAAGGCGAAAGAACATTTATGGGATGAGCTAAAACCAAGCTCTATCCAGAGCTCATTGTTGCAGTATAAGAAAAGTGGCTTAACATGCCGCAAGCAATAATATCAAACTTGATTGAATCTATGCCAAACTGTATGAGAGATGTTGTAAGAGCAAGAGGGGGTCATATCCATTATTGAAAATTTATTTTAGTTAATTGTCAATCAATAAATAAATAAATAATGGCATACATCTTAGTAATAAAAAACGATAATTTGTTTCATGCATAATTTAATAATTTTAATCGAAAGAAACCGAAATATAAATTAATATCTCTAAACTCTTTTCAAAGAATATAAAATTGTCTTTCAAACAGTATATATTTTTTCTTAATCTGACAAATATATTCTAAAAAATATGTAGTTAACTTCAAAAGTTTGCCTTGGGCCGATTTCTATGCACACAAGTGTAAATCAAAGACCTAAGTACTTCTTCGTTTTTCTTAATAGAATAATAAATACATATTAAATAAATATGTATAAACTATTGTCGGTAAATTGAATAAAAGTAAGCTGCTATAAATTTAAATAAAGTCTATAAACTAATTTCGATTTTGAAAATAGCTACTAACTGTCACTAGAAACTTGCCATCACGACATCGGCTTTCTTGGTTTCCATTTTATTGAAAAATTGCTCTTTATTCAAAATCTGAGCTAGATAGGTACAAGAAACCCTAATATAGTTTGAAAGAGCATTTGAATCTGCTTCGATTTATTTTAAAAAATACACGGTGTTGCATTTGAAATAACAAAGTTTTTATGTAAAATAAATATTAAAAATAGACCAGCAATTATTTTTGATACCTCTGTAGTCTCTGTATACATTAAACGAAGCAATCAAATGTTTCAGTAAAATTTATTTCTCTGGCTTAAAAGTGAGCAGAAGAAGTAATTCTGAAAATCAATGTACTGGGTGTTGACAATTTTTTTTTATTATAGCATACATAAATATTTAAAATAGACCAGCAATTTTTGATACCTCTGTATATATTAAACGAAGCAATCAACTTTTTCAGTAAAGCCATCGACCCTGTATCCAACCATACATTATTTTCAGGTGGTTTCAGTCAATGAAAGGATTTAGAAAAATTTGAAAAAAGAGTTTAAAAAAGAAAATTTCAAAATTATTTTGAGCCAAAAATTGAACTTGTTTGAAATACTTCGATTTGATAATTTCAGAATTATTAAGATTGTTTATTTCAGAAGAGTGTAGTCATTAGTAATCAAAAGTTATACTTTTGGTATATAAAGTTTGTCGTAAAGTCATATACAGGGGATGAAAAAATATAAAATGGTTTTTATTTTTTTTTATTTTTTAAAATTCCATAATAACGTATAAAGATCGAGATGTAATGCGAACGAAGTCGTGGGTAAAAGCTAGTTATTATTATGATCAAAAAGCGATCAAAATAGTATAAAAATAAAGACGGTGTACCTCCGAAAATGGTGGGTACTGCGGGAGCTATTATTTGGATTCTGGACACCATTTTACGTTTAAGAATCAACAGGAACGATACCAATGCTCGAGAAAATTTTATTTTCTGCAGACCAGTGTTATTGTTGTTCTAATATATTTGTGTAAAATTGATACCTTTTTTCATTAGTTTCATCATTTTCTCCTATGATGTAAAACAAGTAAATCTTTTTGGGCATAGGTACTACTTTAAATTTTATTAATTTCCCTATAATTAATTCCCAACCTCCTTGTTACACATTTAATGACCTCAAAAGCACTGTTTAAATGTCTGTACATTACTAATTTTACTTTAGCTAAAGGGAATTTGCATTCAAGTTGGTCTTTTGTCGTTTATTAATTGAAGCTCTAAAACAGAAATTAGCGTAATTTCTCCAACTGGAATGTCCCAGAACATCAAACAAGAATTCCGAGATAAAGCTTGTACGTAATTTGATATTAGATTAATATTTAGCTAATTGTCGAGTTCGGAGAAGAGAAAATTGGAGAGATTTCTGTATTGCAATTTGCTTTATAACAGTAATTATATTAGAACTAGTCGAAATACTTGTTAATTTGCTTTATTAAAGTTTCACTCTTTACATAAATAAGTAAAGATGTTCGTATAATAATTCTTTGTTGATAATATTTCAATTATTTTTGAGTTTTTAAATAAATATTAATAATTAATTACAATTGTTTCCAAGGGACTCAAGACAGGATGTTCCTTAGCCCCTCTACTCTTTAAGATATATGTCAAAGAGGCTCTGAAAAAATGGAAAAGAAGATGTGGTGGAATGGGCCTACCAATCGGGGATTCTATGCTCTATACTCTTCTCTTCGCCGATGACCAGGTTTTGATAACAGGAGATCGAGATGATGCTCTACATGCTGAGGGTGCTTTAGGAACAGTTAGAACAATTTGGATTGATTGTAAATATAAAAAAGACCGAATACATCATAGTGATTTGGATAATGGTATGGGCAAAGCAATAAAAAACTGCTCCAAATTTAAATACCTTGGAGTTACTCTTCCCTTAAATGGCAAAAGTAATGAGGACATATCCAATAAAATTGGGCAGGAAAAAAATAATTAGAGAACTAAACTCTCTTCTAGAATCTTCTAGAATATCAAGAAGAACGAAACAGATGGTATATAACTCTATCTTTGAATCTGTTTGTACCTACGGAATGGAGACGTGGGAACTTATAAGGAGAAGCAAAGATAGATTACTTGCACTTGAAATGGACTATTGGAAGCGTAGCAACAGAACATCTCCCCTAGAACATGTAAGAAATGTTTGTATAAGAGAGGAGATGAAAGTAAATGGTACTATCTTGGATACGATAGAATCCAAGCGATTGCTATGGTTTGGCCACCTTCAAAAAATGGAAGATGTAAGAATACCCAAGAGAGTATGGAACTCGATCCCAGTAAAGAAAAGAAAACGAGGAAGACCTGCAAGAACATGGCTCCTTGTTGCAGGATGATGTACAGGAAGCCACGCTTGAAAGACACCTCAGAAATGGCGACTGGTTGGACCGGAATTTATGGAAGTCGAGGACCGGGAAACGACACTAGTCGTAAAAACACCCGCATGTATATGTATATATAAATAAATATTATTTAGTTGGCAGATTTAATTTTAGGCAAATAAAATAAAATCCTCCTACCCTGGGCACCAGTGGCCAAGTGGGATGGACACCAAACTCCAGCCGTCATCTGAAATGGGAAGCCTCCAACGGTCTAAGACACTCGAAGAAATTTCTCAGAACTTACGACTGAGAAAATCAAAAGTTTTCATTGATTTAACTAAGAACACTCTTCGGACTGTCTCGAGGTTTTTAACAGGACACAGTCTCCAACAGTTCGTTGTACATTACTTTAGTTTTTGCTAAATTCATTTTGAGACCCACTTTATTGCTGGCTGTATTTAGTTCATTAATTTGTGCTTGTAGTTTTTTAGGACTATTGGCAATTAGGATGTCATCATCTCTATGTCATCATCGAATCTTAGATGGTTAAGATATTCTCTTCTCCATCTATTTTTAATCCTTTGTTGATCCAGTCAAGTTGATGCAAGATTTCTTCTAATGTTACTGTAAACAGCTTTGGGGAAATCGCATCTGTACTCCTGTCGTACTCCTTTGTCACTTGGGAACACTGGGGTTGTTTTATACATCATTACTCTTGCTTTGGTTTTTTGTATATATTGGCGAGAGTTTCTATACCCAAGCAGCATTTGGACGTCGGGACAACGTTGTGTCACGCGACCAAACGTCGGGGCGCAACGTCGGCACAACCTCGTGCCAACCCTAGTCTGCACTAGTTTGGAGAATAATTTTTGGGTCGAAACGACGTTGGTTACCTACGTTGCCTGCAGCCTAATTTAGTACAAACTGCAACGTTGTTTAAAATCCTAATTCAGAGAAATACAAAACTATAATAATATGGCTTCTAAAGTCGCGTTTTATCCTAAATTGGGATAATTATAGTAAAAATATTATTTTTATGATTTAGTTAGAGACATATGCCAGATGGCAGTAAAGGAAAACAAAACAAAAGTATTTAAGTGTGGAGGATGTTTGAAGATCATAATTATTGAAACACTTTAACCAACTCTGTAACTCGTTACCCAAGGCAAAAAAGTTAAACGCAAACAACTTAATTGATAAATGTATTGTTTCTACTTTGAAAAATAGTAATGGGCCTTAAAATTAAAGAAGTTTTAAAAAATTTCTTGATTTATTTTTTAGTAAAATAATAATTTATTCGCAGTCGAAAAAAAAATCTTTCCGCGTGTTGTTTAGGGTCAAATATTTCAAGTTAATGTATTCAAAAAGCGGGAATTGCTATTTTAGGAACGAAATATTTTCTTATTCAACAACATGTCGGCTTTCACTTTGTTGTTTTGGAGAATAAGATGGAGTAGTTCGAGTAGTCGCATACCTGGACTAATAAAGTCGCAGTTCAGCCTTAACAGGTAGTATACTACTCGCAAGATTAATTTAGTCATCCTAGAGTCTAGCTTGTGCCGCCCTCTATATTCTAAATAAACGAGAGAGTGGATAAAATATTGGTAATATGTCTATGTATATTTAAATTTAGTTTTATATGTGCCTTTCTTACGTCCCATTTTAATTAAGTTTTTTTTTATAAAAACAAAAACAGCACTGAACTGTCAGACTGAACAGAACAATGAAGTGAAAATTTAAGATTTAAGGTTAGGGTTCAATACAATTTGAAAAAGGTAGTGGCTCGACGTCCTACCAACGTAAGAACAAGCAAATCTAAACAACGTTGGTATTAGTAAAACAGACGACGTTTACATAACGTTGGAATAGGTCCTGAAAGTGGCGTCGGAAAACTCTTTATTGCCCAACATTGTAACTACGTTTTCCGAATCACCTAAAGATCACTTAAGCGAAAAGGTTACAAGACAACGTTTATTCGACGTCGCAGAAGCTTTTACTTTGTTGTAGTACTAGTTCAACGTCGGCACAACGTTACAACAATGTTTATATTTATTTTAATACCCAAGGCACGGAGCTAACTATTTTTTGTAACTAATCCAACGTTGTTTTTAGTAAACCTGTGGTCGCAAGTCGTGAAAATGCTACTTGGGTATAAGGCCTATCAAAACCTTGTTTCGATAGAGTTTCTATTATTGTCTTAGGATATATCGAGTTGAAAGCCTTCTCAAAGTTTATACCTATCCAATAAATCATCATAATACCACTGTCAATGCAAGGAACTGAACTATATAAATGCGCATTATGTTTGCCATATAAAATCGGTTTCAAAACGTTGACATTTTGAAAAATGAACTTGACAAAAGACAGTGGACCGGAAAACCCCTACATTATTTTCGTTACAGTCCGCATAAATGGTACAATAAGAAGAGTGTGTACTAAAATGATTGTTTGTTTCCACAGTACACGACCGCAGGGCTGCGTGACGTTTAAAATTCATACACCGTCCGTCGCCGTGCACATAGACACTCTTAAATTTGCATACGCCCATTTAAATGCACATTTAACGCTCATCGGAAACCAAAAGGTGCATTTTTGCGTCTAGTCCGCGACTTTTTTTTATCGTCCCGGCATTTATTAACCTTATAATTATTATTCCATTATATAAAAATAAAGGTACCTATAAAATATGATGTGCATGGAGTTAACTATACAGGGTGGCACCTCTCATACGCCGCGGAAGCTCCAAGGAGAACGGTAGTTTATATCGAAATGAAATTTTGGCATCATAGCATATGTAGGTTAACTGAAAGCATTTTATAATAATATATAGAATTATACAGGCTGTCCCCAAAAAAAGTTACATATCAAAGTTGTGTTTTTTCTAATGGAACACCCTATATACTAATTGATTTTCGGATTCTAGGAAAAAAATTAAGTTGAGTTTTATTAAAGAAGCACCTAAGAATATACCTAGAATCTAAGAATTTTGACATATTTTACATTTTGTGAAAATGAAGAGTAAATTTTAATTTCGATAACACCTACCTAAATTTTAGTTGGCCTTGTATAGCCTGATATTTAATTACAGTAACCATTGTATGTTAAACTAAATTGAAATTTGACCCGAAAACTTATACAGGGTGAGACAAAATTAATATGGAACTGGAACATTAGTCACTTTTAAAAGCAAGTTACTCCTTTATTTTAAATGGAACCCCCAGTATATTATTCAGGTGTTCAATGGGGAATTGATATATCTTCAAAATATTATTAAGGTTGCCTACCCCTCAGGCAAAGATTTTCCTAGATATTTTAATTTTTATGATTTTGCGTCAGTAGATCTTTATTATTTGAAAAAATCTAGGGTGGCTGTGATATACCTTTTGTTAATTTAACAAAAATTAGAGATTGTAGAGTAAATACTCAACGGTAATAAAAATATACACGTTTAAAACATATTTTAATTATTACAGAATTAAAACTAGATATAAACCTATAATTATGTGACAAAAATTAGCTAGATGAAATTAAATGCTCAAAATGTTTCCTTTCCTGTTAACTGCATAAAATGATTGTCTTTTCAAAACGATCTTTTCATTTTAAAAGGCATATGTGGAGTTCTACCTCGAAAAGCATCTAAAATAATTTGTCTCATGTTGTTGACAATAGATGGTCGAGTTTTGTAAACACTGTCTTTAACATATCCCCATAAAAAAAACCAGACTAGATAAAATCAGGAGCATTTAAGTATTCTATTAATTCGTGAATGCACACTGTATTCACCAACTAATAGAATCATATCAATTCCCTCTGATGTAGGATAAGTTTGCATTTTCCGCAAATTTCTGATTTTTTTTGTTTTAACTGACACAAAATGATAACTAGTTGTTAAAGTAGGAATAATTAGGCAGCTATGTTGAAGTAACGTCAAACATATCCCCATAAAAAACCAGACTAGATAAAATCAGGAGCATTTAAGTATTCTATTAATTCGTGAATGCACAATTCGTGTATTCACCAACTAATAGAATCAATACAATTACAATTTGTAGACAAAGGTAAAATAAACAAACAAAGTAAACAAACAAGGTACACAAACAAACAAACAAAAGATAATACAAAACATACAAATAATATTGTCAGTCTTATTGTTTAAAATAAACATTTATATAAATGTTTACAATGTCAAAGAATAAAAAAAAATAAAAATAATATTCAAAAATATTTAGTTAGTTTATAGTAAAAATAGCAAATGAATAAATTTATTTCGGTGTCATTGGTAAATATAGCAATAGCAAACATTAGACCAGTGTTTACAAGATCAAATTCGATTATCAAAATATAATTCATTCACGGCGAGAAAGCCTTGTCTAGTAAATAAGAGTTCAATGCTTTGCGAAATGAAGAAAATGATGTTATGGATTTGATTTCAAATGGCAGGTGATTGTGCATTTTTTTCGAGTTGTATAATATTGAACTTTTAACTAACTCTGAGCGTGGGGTAGGTAGATAAAGATCTTGCTCCGCGTTCCTGAGTGGATAAGTGTGAGATGGCCTTTCTTGAGAAGCTGATACATTCTTACGTATTAGGCAAACGGATTCAAATATAAATAAGGAAGGAAGAGTTAATATTTTTAATTTTTTAAAAAAGTCCTGGCAATGAGTTCTGCTGTTTAGTCCCAGTGAATATCGAACAGCTCTCTTATGGAGTTTGAAAATGCGGTCAAATTGAGTCGCACAACACGTACCCCAGAATGGAAGGGCATACCTGAGGTGCGACTCAAAAAGTGCATAATAAACAGTTCTAGCCACTGACAAGTTAAGCTCCTTAGAAACAGATCTTCACGCAAAACAGGCAGAGCTCAATTTTTTCGACAAAGTTTCGATATGCATGTCCCATTTCAGAGAATTGTCTACAATAAGCCCTAAGAATTTTACAGATTTTACGACGACGAAGAAGAGTCGCTAGTGTTCCTGTGCAATAACATAATTAAGATGATGAAATATGATCGTAA